AAAATGCTGCACATAACCCCCCAAAAAGTCTGAAACCACATCTCAACTGTTTGTCTCCATTGAATGTACGTGTCCTGCTAACTTTCTGTTCTGGTGACAAGTAAGCCAAATCAGCAGATACTGGCAGTAATAGAAACCTTAAATTAACAAAACAAGACAAAGGAAAGTGAGTCCTTTGAACTCCATGAGATAACACAAGTGATATTTCCGGGATTTACTTGGTGATTAAATCATAAGGTTGCTGTATACTTTGTGAACCAGATCCTATGCTGGGTTAAATGTTTGTTTATCCTTGGAGGTGTGTTCAATACCAATTTTTTTTCTTTGTAAATAAACCAAACAGGTCTCTGCATTACCAATAAATAGGTGTGAATCTTGCCTTAAAGCAAACAACAAAAGCACTTATTAGGGAAGTACATTAGTGCCCACATCGGGTTTTGTCTTGCCCCAAACCTTGCCCTGTTTACCCTCTGAACACTGATGGACCATCCAAGGGCCTTGGCCAGAGGCCCAGCTCCACACCCTAGTGCCTTTGCTGGCCATCAAAGAGCAGCATGGGCTGACAACCCCAGCAAACCACAGAGGCAGGAGAAAGTGCAAGCCCAGGAATGGGAGCACATTTGTCCTTGTGAGCAGTTCTAGCTTGTAATCCCCTCGGGACAAACTTTCCTCCTTAAGAGGTGAGCAATATTACAGAACAGCCGGTGCCAGCTTCGTATGTAAAAGGTAATTGTGCAAGGCTTTACACTGAGAGGAGGAAATGCGTGTTTGAGGAGGCAGCGGTTGTGTTTAGGTATTTGCAGAGGTCCAGTTCACTGGGCGTGGTCTCACAGGAGAAACACTCCTTTAGTCCTGTCTTCTGTCTGTCCTACCCCCTGGTCCCAAGTCCTAAGCACAATTCATGGACCTTCTACCAATATCATGTCTCTCCTTAGCATTCTGTCCCTGTGCTTACCTGGGATTGCTGCCTAGTGTCCTTCTCCATGCTCTGCTCCCCTGGGACAGGGCAGCCAGCCCAACTGCCCCTCCTGCCTTGGCTCACGGTTTTTCTAGTCCTCAGGCTGGTGCTTCCTGGTGGGGTGAGCATGGTGAGGCTCTGCCGGCACAGCACGTGGGGTGCTGCCAGGGAATGTTTTGCCCTGGGATGCTGAGTGGCTGCCAGCAAGTGAGCTCACTGCTTGTCACCTTAATGGGCAGACATGCCTTCAGCCTCCGTGCTGCTTGCCTGGGTTGCTAGCCCTTTGCAGCCTTCCTCATTGGCTTAAAGAACTGAGCAAATAATGTCTCTGATCCTCCCTAGCCTTAGGGCATACAAGGCTGGAAATGGCAAACAATAAATTTTTACAGCTGTCTTGCCACTGTCCTTTTCTGGCCTGGTACCAACTCCTCTTCTCCCAGTCCTCAGTAAGCGTTACTCAATTTGCTTTCCTTGGTGGACTACCATGTAGCTGAAGCAAGCATCCCCTGGGGCTGGTCCAGATCCTTTGAAAACAATAACAAACTGTCAGCTCAGAGAACAGCTCCGCTGACTGAACTTATGCTGAGAAAAGTCTTATTAATAAGTCAAAACTTCCCAACCAGTTACTGCAGGAGACTATTGGTTTTCATATCGTACCTTCCCATTTAGATACTTGAAAGTGTAAACTAAATTCCTGCACTTTCTTGTCTGTGAGCTGGACAGTGCTCGCTTCACTGCAGTGAGATCAATTGCACTTTGCCAAGGACACTCCAGCTTTCTTGTTCTTTCTCGCTAGTGAAGCCCACAGGCAATAGCTGTGACTCATGATGCCTGATGAAATGTGAGTGCTGTCTGAAAACCACAGGCTCATTATCCACCATTATGGGTATTAATTTGTGGTAGAAAAGGAGATGAATTTTGATGGGACGTGAATAGAGTTTAAATTAAATGCTCACATCGTTGGTTCTTGTGCTGTGTAAAGAGAAGGAGCCCCCATCCCCTTCTGCTCTGCACTTCCTTCGGCAGTCTCTTCTCAGCTGGACAGCAAGAGCCCCGTGGCTCTGCTGGGTGCAGTGAGGCCAGCTCTTTTCCTCAGGAGTGACCGTGCCTCTTACATCAGCTTTGTTACCCTCTCCCTTCCTTTACATGAGTGGGGAGGTAGGAAAGAGGAGAGAGAAGGGAGGGAATATGCCACAGCCACCTCTGTAGTTTATGTAGCAGTGTGTGTTAAACACAAGACAGCAGCAGTGGAGATTGCTTTAGCCAGTAAATCGCTGGCTGATGACTGTATTCTGTTAAATGGGTCTCATGAAAAACCCTGTGAGGGACAGGCCATGAGGTCCCGTTTCAGTGGTGGTAAGCACAGGAAGGGGAACGCGCTGTCCTTCCACAGTCAGGGATTGTGTCCAGAAACTGTCTAGTCCAGCCCTTGCACTTCATCACCTCCAGCTGTAATGAGCTTTGAGGGGTGACCTAAAACCTCAGTGCACTGACCTGGCTGAACAGAGCTGTGAGATGTGACTTTAGCACCACTTATGAGCTCCTACATGGCCTTAACAACCCCAATAACAAAAATTAATGTTTCTCATATCAAAGAGACTTTTAACCTTGCAGAGGAAGGGCTTGCCAGATACAAACAGAAGCTGATTATATGGAAACTTACTGGTGGGGACAGTCAATCCCTCAAGTAATTAATCTCAGGAACTTAATTGTTTCAACCTTTATTTCAAGACAAGTGCATCTATATGTATATATATATAGAGGTCAGTCTAGTTCAGCCTGAAAATGCAGAGGAATCAGTGTGTGAAATGCCCTCTCCTGCTCAAAACAAGAAGAAAGGGTGCACCCTTCTGAGGTACAAATCCATTTGTGTTGTTTAGGCTTGAGCTTTCTTGCTGTCCTGTGCACCCCTGTCCACACCACTGACATGGGCTGCCCTGTCTGTGTTGGGAAGCACCAGCCCTGGATGCCCTTGGGGAGAGCTGAAACTATAGCCAAACTGTAAAAAAAGAGAATGTATGTGAAAATTTCATACAGTTTTCATACCAGTGTAAATGTCTGCTCAAACATAGTGTATGTATAATTTACCAGCCCACCCCCCACTCCCAAGGGATACTGCAAGCCCAAAGGTTACAAAGGAAAGTTTTATTAGATTTAGGAAGGGAAATACATTCTTACTTCAGCTGGGGAGCATGACCATCCCCAGCTTGGGGACAGGGTGCAGCTGCCTTCGATCCCAGTGGTGGGCAAAGTGGCCAGAGATAAAAGCCCAAAATGTCCCTTACAGCTGGGGAGGAGCATCCTGCGGGTGCAAGGCAGCCCACAGCTTCTCAGTCCTGAGATGAGAAAAAGCTGTTTCTCAGCACTACATGAATAACTGCTTCAGCCACAGAGGTTTCCCCTGGGGCTGTGGCCTGGCCCCACGTAGGGAAGTTCATAAAATCTGACAACAATAGCGTAAAGCATATGGAAAAGCTCACCAAGGCCTGGCAAATTTCCTTACCTTGCCTGAGTCCACAGGAGTGCTCAGCCAGGAGCAGGTTGGCCTAAGAGCCAAGGTGGGCAGCAGCACGGTGCCTGTGTAGCAGGAACACACCAGGGCATTGGGAGCATCTGCAAAGAGGAGCTGAGTGCTGAAAACCCAAAGTCTAAACCCTTCCCAGTGTTTCTAAGAAACCTGAAGTAACATTCTTATGCCTATAGTATAAATACATAAATACTTGTAAGGAAACACTTTGGAGTGTACAGCTAGCAGTGAGATGCTGAAATGTTGCTGGAGTTCACTGGGAGCTGCCAGGTAGTCACTTGCCCTTGAAATCTGCCCCACTTCAGCCAAAACTGTGACAGTCACTGGCTGTGCTCACAGGTCATGAGCTGCCTACAGCGTGGGCAGGGCAAGACTTGTCCTCAGCAGTCATAAGCTGTAACGAGAAGAGGGATGCACAGCCCAGGATCGCTGAAAACAGTCTGACTTCAGCAGTAGCCAGGCAGGGTGCACATGGGTGCACAGGCACATTGTGGAGATGGTGCCTGTGAATCTCTCAGTGGTGCATACCTATATGACAAGGTCTACTGCAAGGCTCATGGGAACCATCTGACCCCTCCTAGAGGAAAGGACCTGCAGGTTTCACTTGGTCCATTAGAGAGAATCCACCAAGTCCAAAGTCTTCATGTTTTTCCAAGTTTTTATGTGCCTGGATCATTTTTGGGTCAAGCCAGTCTGTGTGTGTATGCTTAAAGGAGACTCTCCTTCAACTTAACACCTCCAAGAGCTGGTGTCAAGATGTAAATATCCCACCAGATATTCCCTCGGCTCAGGCTTCAGTAGTCTGCAGATAGCTGGAACAACCAGTGGGCCTCTGCTCTTAAAAGTTGCTCCAAAAAACCTCCCAGTCACTGCAGAACCTGCATTTCTGCTGTCCAGTGCAGTCCTGTTAGCTCATTTCAAAATACCACCTTCCTTTTGTGGCCTTTACCTGTCAGAGAGCATTTACGTGGATCACTGCAAAGGAAGTCCCTTGCTGCCTCTTCCCTGCCTTCTGCCTTGCCAGGCAAAGGGCTGTTGAGCAGATCTGTTCTCCTCCTTCTCCAAATGGCTTCAAGACACTTGAGGTATCTTCCTGATTTACCAGACTTTTATTTTAGCAAATATACAGCACATTTGTACTACATGCAGATACTGTCAAGTAAATAGAGAAACCCAGGTTTTCTCTGAATATAAGCTAAGCTTAGGTGACTTTCTTTGGTTTTCATTTCAGTTCTCCTTAAGGGCTCCACGCATCCCTTTCTCCAGTCTTAGAAAGATCCATCCAGGTAGCAAAACAGCTGCACAGATCTCCAAAGAGATGAACACAGCATGCACTACATAAAGCCCGTTTGCCCTGTGATTTATCTGCACTCCAGCTGAGGCTTTCCACAGCCCCAAGGAGGGAGGCTAGAGCAGTCTGCCTGTACAAGTACAGCCTGGGAGAAAAGACCTCCCACAGGCAAATGGATTGGTAGGAAGGCTATACTTTACATGTTACATTCCAGATGTTGTCATCTACACAGAGCAAACGAAGGGGCCTAGTAATACCAGGCTAAACGTCAAATCCGCGATGGTGACGTTGGAGCTGGTCTGCAGGGTGACGTTATTCTGGTCAAACAAGAAGAGCACTGTGGTTAGATTTACTGTGTTGCTGCTGTCCCGGACAGTTTGCTCCCACAGGACCTCGCTGGTCGTCTTGTACGTCTTCCACAGTGTCAGCTTCAGCAGGTTCTCTTCCAGGTCAGTGAAAATGATACGACCCTTCAAGGACACTAGGTAGAGGCCATCACAGGTGATCATGATGGAACCATTTCTGATCTGAATAGAGCCCCTTTCAGCAGTGAGATTCACAGCTACTCCTTTGATGCTTTGACCTGGAACGGAAGAAAGCAAAGATCATCCCATGAGAACAAGTGTCTTATTGGAAATGGGTCATTTTATAGGGACTGGCTGCAAAAAAGGTGGAAAAATATAGGAGAGGAAGAGAATGAACTAGAGTGGGCAGACCAGAGCTAGAATATCATCTGCTCTAGGCAGGGTATCATCTACAGTGGAAATTTCCAGGTTGCCACTGCTGAGCAAGGTGTGCCTTCTGGACTACAACTCCAGTTTCTGTGAATTATTTCTCCAAGCTTCTGTTTATGCACTATTTATTTACTGTATGTCTTAGTTAGAATACAGACACGTAAGTAAGAGATCTCTGTCAGCTTAGGAAGCACAGCTTCCTGAAAAGAACTAGAAAATAAAGACAGTAAATAAGAAGAGGAAAAAATGTTCAGAGCTGGAAGGAAGAGAAAAAGTGCTTTCTGTGGAGATGCTGGTAATATATAAGTCCTTGTCTTTGGGGTTTTTTTTGTTTGATTTTGGTTTCTTTTTTTTGTTGGTGGTGTTTTTGAACAGAAGACAGGATAAAAGAGCAGTATAAAGACAGAAACAGAAGAAACAAATGAATACAGAGCAGAGTCAGGAGAAATTAAACCAGAACTTAGCAGGAAAGGCTTTCTGTTGGAACGAGCAGTAACAGTTCCCGAGGCTGTGCTGGTAATTGTTTCCCTCCTGTGCTCTTGGGTTTTCAGCACACCAGCAGAACGCCCTGGGACCAAAGGACCCAAAAGGTCTCCTGGCAGGGAGCACAGCCCCTCCAGGCTGAGGGCAAATTTCTCAAGCTTTTTTTCTAAGAACATGGTTTTCTGTTAGGTTAGACTCACTGCTACCTTAACAATATTAACTGAAAGTAAAACTGTTGACAATATTTTTGCTATAATTTACAAATTTTGGTATTTGCTTCTGTCAATGAGGTATGTCATCAGACAGAACATCCAGTGCAGTCAGCAGGCAGAGCACTGCTGTTTCTGCTGCCGTGTGTATGCTCGCTTGCTCTTCCCCAGGAAATTATTTACATTTTTCATAAATCAGGAAATCATTGACTCGTTTCAGAAATACCCCGGGAGCACGCCGCGTGTACTCAGTAAATTCTCAAAAATATTTTTCTCGTTCTTTTGCAGAGCAAGAGCTTGTTTTAGTAGGTAGGTAAGGATTGAAGAAATCCACACAAGTTTTGGGTTTTTCTTCTGCTCCGGGCAAATCCTTTTGTTTGGTTTTGGCACCTTGCAGTACTGGGTCAGATTTGGACCCTCTCCCCCCAGACAGTTCTCCTGGCACCTTCCTCCATCAGCAGAAATGGCTGTGACGCCAAGAGCTAAACAGCCTCCGGCATTATAGGGACCACCGGCTGCCACCGGGGGCCCCAGGGACTGTGGGGCAGAGCCGGGAGCCCTCTGAGGGCACCGGAGCACTGGAGAGGTGCAGCCTAGGGAAGCCGGGAGCTGCTGCTGGTTACTGGGGGAGCCTGCTGGGGGTAGTGGTGTCCCGGGAGCCCCCCGGTCAGCGGGGCAGCACGGCAGTGGCTGCTGTGCCGGGGCAGCGTGCCCGGGGTACCGGCCCTCGTGAAGGGGCCAGGGTCTCTCCTGCGGTGCCCCCCTGCCCCGACGCCCACCCACCTGTGTACCGGATGTGGGTCCACAGCACTTTGTCGCTCTGAGACTGAAAAAAAGAAGATAAATCCTCATTAACACGCTGTCGGGCCCCTCGCTGCTGCTGCTATCACTTTCATTTCGCCACCGGGACTGGGCCTCCAAAAGCAGTGCCGGCAGCCCCAGCGAGCCCGGTGGCTGCTGCCCAGCTATGCTCTTTACTTGCTTTTATATCGTTATTATAAAATATGATTTTAGAGTGGTTCCCAGCCAGCCTGACTTCCAGCCCAGTGCTGAGCCTTCCGGAGCACACCAGCTAATGCTGGTCCTGTTTAGAAAAACAGCCTGGTGAAGGGAGGACTTTGGGGTGCAGAGCCTCTTCTGCATGATCCCCTCGAGTCTGGCTTACAGCCGAGGTGCCTGTTTGCCGGGCTGGGACCCAGGCGTGTCTCCGCCGTCTCACCCTCCTCCTGCAGGACACTGAGAGGTGGCTCTCGGCTTTACGGTGCTTCTCTGCACTTTGGGTCAGGCTGTCACTGGGTGCGTGTCTCTCAGTGGCTCCCTCAGAAGTGTGTTAAGACGTTTGTTTTGCATTTTATGAGTATAACAGAAAAAGTGAATGCAAATACCGAAGTATGTATCTTACTGATCAGATACGCAAAACACCAAGCTTCTGTATTAGATTTTTAAATCTGAACTTTGCATCTCAAACACATCTCTCATCTTAACCACAGGAGGCCCAAATCGGCAGTCTCTTCACAACCACAAGTCTTCAGCATGTTGCCTGATTAAAGAGTGAAAGGTTGGGCTCACTGCTCCGTGTTCTTCTCTTTACTTATGCCATAGGTTTCCTAAGGGAGAAGGTGGGCTGGTGAGACATCTGTGTCGGCCCTTGTGTTACCGGAACAGAGCAGCCCCTTTGCCCTGAGCACAAGGGAAAGTGTTGGGACAGAGCAGAGAGTGAGCCCGGACACGCAAATGCTGCACCCTGGTAAAGGCAAGGGGCAGGGGAAGGAAGTTGGAGCTGGCTACCCTGTGCTGTCTGTGCTGGAGGGTGAGGTGGGTGCTGGGTGCTGCTGGTGGGAAAGGTCTGCTCTGGCACCCTCTAGTGCTGCCATAGCTGATGCTCTGCCACTGGCTCCACTGCCTGGGCTGGATTCGACTACCAAATACAAGCTTTTATTGTACACTGTCTCCCCTGGCATCACCCATTGCCTCAGCAGCTCGAGTCTTACACTTACTCTTTTTCTAGGCACCTAAGTACATGAGTATTTCACTCTTTGGCTCAGGCAGCTGGGATTTCCAGGTAGTTTCCCAACAAGACAATAGCTAAGCACAGGACCACTGAGCTTTTGAGGTCAAATGATATCCACCACGATCTGTCCACTGGTGGACAGGATGTATTAAGCACAGACATGTTGGGTGACAAACTTGTAGCAATTTTAAGAATATCAACCCTGATGTCACTGATGCACATTTCTTGTTTTACACACGCTGCCAGTTATTGCGTGACCTCAAAGCCCTTGGTAATTATCTACTAGTAAATTCTGCTGAGGAGTGTATGTACCATAGGACTGGAAGAGCATCCACATGTTAATAACAAAGTTAGTCACTCCTCTTTCTCTCTTTTGCCTTCTTATGGTGTGCGGGAAAGGATGCCAGGAGGGCTGAGGGCACAGAGATGCTCCTTACCGACTGCTTCAGGTTTCCCCGCATCATTTACACACAGAGTTTCCACATCAATTTTGCCTGTTCTGGATCCCCAAACGTGAAATTTCCTCCTGTCTGGAACATGGAGTGTAGAGCCATGCCACATGGCAGAAGTGTGAGCAATAGGTTTGTACTGCACAAAGTGCAAATCTCAGGGGGCTGTAGCAACATGCAGTGATTGAGAGGACTGTTGAGATCATGTGCCTGACTCCCTGCGTCATACACGCTGTGCACTGGAAGTGGGTTGTACCTTCTCCGCACCAGGAGATGTTAGGATTATGACCTTATCTTCCTTATCTATATTAAATATCTCCACAATTACTCCTCCTGTGTCTTTTCCTCCCCTATTCAGGCAAAACTATCCTGCAACAGATCATTAGAAGCCTTTGAATTCCCAACATCTGCTCAAGGCTTTTACCTCCCATGCATTTGCATCAGGGGGTTTCACACCCCGTGATCGCACTGGTGAGTGGTTTACCCATGGCCTGATCCCAGCTGGTGTGGCAAGAGGAGGTAATTCCAGCAGAGATGGGAACTCACAAGCCTTGCAGATGTGAAAGCAGACTATCGCTACCTTTTTTTTTAACTTGCGTATTTGGAAATCACAACTGAGGCTTGCTGTCCAGGCAGCATCATAGAATGGTTTGGATTGGAAGGGA